TTCCAAGGCTATCCAACCTGCCTCTCCATTTTGGCTTGTTTCCCAAGCCACTTAAAGGGGAAGGGATGGCCCACCTATCTTGTCTCCTGGCTTTGGCTTGTTTCTCTTACTGGAGTCTCACACTTAAATCAAAACAGGGAGTAAGGGACAAAGGAGAAATTCCAGAGCTGCATGGAGAGGACTGAGTAAAGGACTGAGGAAAAATTCCAGAGCTGCATTCTGGGAAGAAGGAGGAACTTCCCTAGGCTAACTCTCTTGCCTCACCTTCAGAGGCAAGAATTAAGCATAAGAAAGAGGTTCAATTTGGGGCATGGTCTTCTAAGTAAAAATAATAGCCCAACTACCAGTTTCTTGTCCATCTAGTATTTATGTGTACATCCGAAACTACAATCTACAACCCTAATTTTGCTTTGTCCTATGCCTTGAGGCCAACTCCTCCTCTACTTGTTTTTTATTTTATAGGGAATGGGGAAGGGACAAATCCCTCTATATTGTTTCTCAAGAGAATATGTATTTTTTTTGTTTCAGCTGCTCTGATGTTTTCTCTTTTCCAGAACAGTGTAATTCCCACAGGCTTGGCTTGGGAGGACATGTTGTACCTTCTCTACCAGAAGTACAAGAGTGCCATCACGTGGGGGGACCAGGATTTATTAAATATTATTTTTTATTTCAATCCAGGTAAGTTCTCTTTCCAGAATGCTGTTGGTATAGAGGTATGCCTACCTTGCCCCACAGAGCACATTCCAGCCTGATCTGCTATTGAGAAAACTTGAATTGTGCCTGTGTGTCCCTCTGCCCTTCTACCTACTCCCCTACACCTGCTGTGAGGTGTGTCCTTTCACACACCCCCTGGTATCTCACAGAGGCAAGTCCTTGAGCTGCTAACACAAAAGGCCAAATGTTAAAACATCCAACACTCGACTTCATTTTTCAATAATCTCCTTTAGATTTTGCCAGCACCATTCTTCTAAGAAGAACAGTGAGAAATAATGGGAGGCACAGAATCAAATGAAAACATAATCTAGGCACGAGGTCTTCCATAGCCTGAACAATTGCTAGATTGAAGGGAACTGATTCTTGGGAATCTTTAAAGTTAAGTGATTTGTTCTGGGGCAACAGAGCCTAGAATAAGGACTCAGATTCCCAAATCCCTTTTTCTGGGGCAAAAGAAAAATTTTATATTGTTAAGTCAATTATTTGGTGGAGTTGGGGGAAGGAGAGAGACAAAAATTTCTGATCTATGATTTTATTTTGATGCCTAAAGCTAACAAAATTTCCTTTCTGTCTTTCTTCTTGCTAAAACTATACTTAATGTTGTTAAAATCAAAACCTTTTTTTCTACTTGGGAAAAAATCTTTGGGGAGAAAAAGCACTCTTACCTAACCTACTCAGGCCTTTCCTTTGTCTTTAAAAAAATCCCGAAGTAGAGAATCCTGTTTATAAAGACTTCTGTCTCTGGTTTCATATCACCCTGTGTAAGCACCTACTATGTACCTTTATTATTTTTTTTTTAATAAAACACTGAAATAAAACCTAATCTTATATGTTTTTGGATTAAAAAGGACCAAATCCTGGAAAAGAAAAAAAGGTGGATACAAAGTTTCTGGAAAAGATTCCCAATATTCATTCATTAGACAAAGGGAATATCTTGGCCATTCACTGGTGACATGTTTTAATCCTTTTCACTCTGATAGTAACAAGGATTTTAAAGTCCGCGCCTCTCATTTATCATTAAGCAGAATTTCATCTTTTTTCTAGGTGTAAATGTATTGCCTAGAACTCTTGTCTACACATAAAGAACTCCTGAAGTTAGACTATGCACAAAGAATACTTTTTTATAAGCAAACTTGAGTCCCTAGAAACCAAGGGCAGGAAAGGAAAAATGATGAGGAACCCAGGTTGGACCTTCTTCTGCTGAGGCTTTCATTATCTTTAAGAACTCATTCTCTGCTCCTCAGACCTCAAAGCAAAGTACCAAGGTTTCAGACTCCAAGTCCAGGTCTCCAAGAAAGACTAACTTTATCCCAATTCCAAAGTCCTAGGGGAGAGATCTGATGTTTCCATCATGGGTCAGTTAAGCCAGAAACGTGGAGCTAAGGAATAATGGCTGACATTTATTATTTACTAAGTGCCAGGTGCTATTCTAAGCATTATCTTATTTAACCCTGACAACGACCCTGAGAGTATAATCCCCATCTTACAGATGAAACTACCAAGTGAAAAACAGTTAAATAATTCATATAGTAGCCAATGAGTGCTGGAGCAGGGGTACAAACCCAGGCCACTCCAACTTTGGCCCTGTATATTTGGGGGAGAGAATTTTTCAGAGAGGGGAATCCTAGAGAGCTGGGCATATATCCCAAAATGGAACTGTCTGCTGCATTATTTCTGTCTTTTAAATACTGCATTTTCCTCTGTTGCATAGCTAAAAGTATCTTCCAATAGCCTATCTGTATTCCTAAACTGAGGAATTGAAAAGATTGCACAGTTGCCTCTCCAGAAATTCTCTTAGCCTGTTGCAGATTATTTGAGGACATGATTAATGAGTAGATAATAATGGAAGGCAGTCATATGCAGCTTTGCAATTAGACACAAGCTCCTTGTCTTTAATTGGAACTAAATAATTATGAAGTTGTACTAAATCCTGGTTCTGAGCATTAGCAAAGTAAATAACCAAGTTTCCTAGCTTTAGATCAATGAGTATTATTAGGTAACTCCTTGATTGTTCTTGTATGGCCTTCGTTAATCTTATTTCATACTTTATCCAAGTACTTTATTAACCATCAGATCTTTGAACTGAAATCCAGTGATATCCATCACATTGAAAGGTTTTTTTTCTTTGTTTATATTGGTTGTGAGTGTGTTCTATAAACCAGAACAAACTATATTTGAAAAAAAAAAAGAAGATTTGTCACCTTTATCTCTGGCAAGGTGGGAGAAAAGGTTGGCCCTGACATAGGCGACAAACATGCTTATCGTTATGGTTCTTAGGGGTTGCCATGGGTGTACACGACCAGAGCACATATCTAGAATATTATTATTATTCTATTCTCCTGTAGCCAATACATCACTTTTAAAATGTGTTTAAAAATCATTAGCTTGAGGGGAAAAAAAATGTCATAGATGATAGAGACTATTCATCCCTCTGGCGACCAGATCAAAGTTGTGACGGAAACAAGGAGCAGCAGCAAGGAAAAATTGCCTGGGATCCAGATGGACAAGCCATATAACTAGAGAGAAATCCAAGAAAGTACCTTTTAATGGCAGAAGGTAGGACAGGGCAAGGACACAGGCTGCCTGGTCTCCAGCAGCTGAGTGAGACGGAGGCTGCGGCAACGGCAGGGGCAGATGCTTTTTACAGGGGCTGCCTTTGTGAGCGGATTTTCGTGGTGACCGACCTGCTCACTCTGAGCACCAGTGCTGATTGGGCTGCACAGAGGGCATCAGGCACTTACAAGGAGACATTGTCAGAGTGAGGGCCAAAGTGAGACTCACTCTGTACAGAAGTGCCGGCAGTATCCATTGTTCTCTGTTGAGCCCTCCCGCTCCCTGTGCGCCGGATACTCCATAGCCCTGACTTCATCAAACTGGATAACAGAGGTCGCTCTGCCGGGAAGATTCCCTGAAACCCCGCCTCCCCCAAATCGCGGCCCCCACCCAAGCCACATCCAAGAATATCCTCAGCAACACAAATGCTCCTTGCTGAGCAACACCTAAACTCACACTGGAGGCAGCTGGCCTCAGTTTCTGGTGTAGCTTTTTGAGGCAACTATAAGCACAGCATCTGTGGATTGCTTGCTGAATCTTAACAGGTGGCCCCAGAGGGGCACAGGCTTGGGCTGGACTCCTCTCAGGACTGTGCCACTGGACATCTATTACACAAATCCACACTAATAAGATCGGGAGACTTAGGTGCTTTGCTTACTACATAGAAACAGACACAGAAAGACAGCCAAAATGGGAAGACAAAGAAGCAGAAACTATATGAGAGAACAGAACAGAGATCCAGAAATAATGAAGTCAAGTAATCTAACAGATAT